AAGAGCAGGGATTGAGAGGTCCCTGCAGTCCCGTCCACGCCAGCAGCGGCTGCACTGCGGACTAATTGGCAAGAGGCCTCTGCGTGAGTGAGCGAGCGAAGGAGGGGCGGCCGGGCGGGCCGGCCGGCCGAAGAGGAAGGAAGACAGGCCACCTCATTCCCACAGGATGAGAAGAAAAGAAGAAGAAGAGGAAAAAAAGCAGCAACCAAAATTCAGAAAACGACAGAAGCAAAGGCTGCGTCCCCTCTTCTTACGCCGTCTCTCTCTCACCCGTCTTCCCTCTGTAGGCCTTCCAGACCCAGACGCCAGACTAGCCTCGTCCTTGTAATTTAGATTAATTTCTTCCACATTTTCCTCAGGGATTAGGCCTCAACCCATCGAGCCCCCTCCCCTCCCTCCTACAAACACACACACACACACACACACACACACACACACACACACACAGCTCACTCCTACCGTAGCTGCTTATTGCGCTCATTATTAAACTACGCTCCCCACACAGTTACACCCCACCCCCGCCCTCCACACGCACACACAAATGACTCCACTAATCATATATTGTCAGATTTAACATCAGTTAAAATTGCCTACATCATAGGCAATTTTTGTTCATGGAAGGAAAACTAAATTTTATGCTGGTTAGATATTTTTAAAATAAGGTTTAATGAAACAAAAAACACTTCGTTTGGTTTTAAAAAAAAAAAGGTGCCGGCCATTATTGATGGAGAGACAATGATATATATGTGTGTCCGGATGTTATAAAAAACGCCTCACACTGAGCATACGCCTAATCAGCAGAGTACTGACGGCACGGTGGGAAAATACCAGCGCGAGTCACTCACTTTGACTCCAGGTGTGTTTTATGCAACACAGGAGCGAGTCACGCTGGGAGTGGACACGACTCAAACGTTCCTCAGCACACGTAACACCACAACAAGGACAAAGCAAAAACTGAAAACTGAAATGAATGTTCAGCCGTTTTCTCAATGCATTCTTGTGTCTAGAGAGGCAGAATTTAAAAAGCCTTTTGAAACTCAATGCTTGTCTTTGGCTTTTTCTTTATTTGATGAATTGCACACCACTTTCTGCATCTCTTTCTAGATGCTCTTCTCGCTTTCATTTATCTCCTATTCTTACTGGAAATAGGCCGTAACTTGCTGGCATCAATTCTAGATGAATGAGGGGTTTTAGTATGGCAAATAGATGTCAACATGAATAAATGAATCACAGTGCGAGAGGGAGGGAGAGGAAGAGAACCAGGAGTCAATGGAAAACTCTGGAGTTACGTTGCCAACCGCAACAGTCGGGAGTCGACGCCTAAGTGGCTTCGTTTACACCTCCTGGTCCTGCTCTGATTGAGCTGAACCAATTCAATCATGTGATTAGATCAACCACAAATTCCCATTTGAAACAAGCACATCAATCTGCGAAGTAAAACTTTACTTATTTAAGGAATTCTTGATCAATTTAGGACTAAATCACCATCTAACTAGAAAGAGCTTGGCCTGATGACGGCGATTGCCTTTGCAAGAAGAATTGGACTATTTCACTTAATCTGGGTGCCAAAAGAGACACTTTTCCTGTGACTTTACACTTTATAGTAAGCACAAGTAATAATGAATTTTAGTAGAAGTACTTTTTGAATGTGAAATTGAATTCCTTTTAACTTTTGACCATCTCCTCATTTTCAACACATTCAAGTCATTCTCTTTGTCGCTTTTAAATTAGCTGGAGATTCCATTCCCGTACAATAAAATTGTAATATGAACCACGTTTTGAGGGAAATGCATACCGTCGTGGATTGTGCTTTTTTTAAATAGGTTTGCGCTGCAGGAGGTCAGATACTTCATAATGTTAACCACTTTTTCTGCGACCGTAGTGAGAAAATAAGTTGATCTGGAAAAACAAGTGCAGTTTAGTTGTATGAAAACATAATTTTGTAGGAGTCAGTGTTTGATTGATCTTCATTTTTTTTCTCCAAATATTAGAACACATGGTTTGATTAGAATGATCCTGTACTGAGCTGGGAATGAATTTCACTCCTGATTTGCACACGAGAGTCAACTGTTGTCTGTGTGACTTGTCACTTGTGACATGGGATGTTAAGACTATGGTCTAACTCATAAAGTGGTTTCAGTGGTTGGGAACTATAACCAAGCAATTAGTCTGACTGCAAATGAGCCTTAATGTACAACAGATTTTCAAGGCAGTCGTTGAAGGGAAGTGGTTGGGCGAAATGGAAAAGTGCTCAGCGGGAACATGGAACATGGATGAACTCAATCACTTGTGACGGAAGTCAAGGAAATTCTTTTTTTTAATATTTTTTGTTTTCTCTGTCACGGGTACCTGAAACTGATTTTTTTTTTTAAATAATTCAATAATAATTATGCAAATTTTGACTAATTTCTAATCAGGTAAAATTGTTCCCTTTTGAAGCGACACAAGCAGCAACATGACTAGTGGGTGGAAGAAAAGAACCGCAGCGCGGTAATTCAAGCTAATGACATAACCAGAATGAATTTTAAAAATAAAGGCACATTGGAATGACAGATTCAAAAAAGGACATAAAAAAATCAGGTTTTTACTGTTGCCGCCTTGTTTCCCTCACAGCTTTGTCACGTGACTCGAGGTGACCTACATAAAAAGGTCAGTCGGAGCCGACATGAGATACGACTACAGTTCAGTGAATCTGGAGTTGACAAGTAGCCGCAGGCTTCCTAATGAGATCAAAAGAGTATATTAGCACGTCAGATATAATCTCTGGAAATAAAAGAAGTGTATGAGTTTCTGTTTTTTTTCATTAGGCGAAGTTAACGGGTTAGCTGAACAAGTCCGCGCTCGCCTCTATTTCCCAGCTTCGTTAGGCGTGTCAGAGGCGCATTACTCACACCGTCTCACAGTTGGGAGGGAAAATGTTTGACCAGTTGCCTTTGCTTTGGAAAAATTGTGATGTGGGCGTGAGACCTAGGAAACAGGTGCTTGGTGGTATGATTCTAGACAACGGTCTGGTAGGATGTATCTAAAGTCACAGGTATTCATGTTTCCACTTCATAAATAGTTTATACCTGCGTACATGCTTTATCTTGCCTGCTACTTTGTTTGGAAATGTTCCTGAAATTACACGGTTTTGATTGGACACAATCATCAGTTTTGATTGGACACATGAAGCACTAAACTCCACCCTTAAAGTTATATTAATTCAGTTACTCCTTGCGTGTTACTTTGAATTTTTGTAGAAACGTTTTTATCATTAGTGGAAAAAAACAGAAAAAAAAAAATAATGTGCCAAAATCTTATGAGCATACAAGTAAATAAATTAGACTTGGATGACACTGCGTAAGTTGTGTGTTGTTGAGTTCAAGGTTACGCAATGTGAGCGTTTGACACAAATTGTCATTTTGTCAAGTGTTCCTTTGAGATCCTCATCTGACTCATCGCCCCGAATGCAGAACTCCTCAGCTGACAATAAAGGTAAAAAAAAAAAAAGCGAGTGAGAGGTGCGTGTGTCTAATAACTCACTGGCTGCCAAAACAAAAGGCCCGTCATGTGACCGACAGAGAGAGATGACATGAAAGACGGCCGTGCCCGGAAGGGAAAGAGCGAATAACTTAACGAATCGGAAACCTCGGTCACGGAAAGGCTTGATGTCTCAACCGTGTTCAACCCATCATCCAAGACGCTGAAAGTCCACTGCCTCCCCCCTTCTTTCATTCGCTCTCACAGGGCCGAGCGCACAAGCTACGAGCAACTGAAGGCAGTTAAAATCAACCGCGGAGGAGGCCAGTGAGCCACCGGGGTGACAGGTCTGGTTTAACAGGTTCTGAGGGGAGAGGCTGATACTTGTCTAACCGATAGGTACGGCACACTGCTGCCTCTGCAACGTGCAGCATGGAAACCTGCTGCAGTGGTTTCACCTTCGAACCTGCAGTTGCTGGATGCGCGGCTACGGCCCAGTGCAGCCCATTCGGGGGCAATACATCATATACATTTGGGGGATAACAAAATCGATACCACTGATAAATCCAGCGACGAGTACAGTGCTAAAACGCAAGCTCCTGGAACACGTGGACCACGTGAATCAGCAGGAACTGGCTTGGCAAGTGAGGATTGAGCAACCTTGTGCTCCATTCAAATCGGCTCTGCAGTTTTGAAACGTGAAAGCCTTTCCCTTAAAGACATCAAAGGGATTTTCTGCACTGGAAATCTGGCAGCACTGAATTTCCAGAGAAACTCACCTCAAAACCGTAATCAGATCGACACTTCACACCGAGGCCCCACAGCTCTTAAAGTCTATTGAGTGTGCGTCAGCAACACAAGTTGTCCGTGTCCAAGCATAGACCGCCATTTGTCCACCCTCAGCTGTGCATCTTTGTTCATCACATGATCTGTTTTTTTCGAGGTCTCTTCCCTCACTGAGCCACACGGAACTATTTGTGACTGAGTGAGAGCAGATAATGAGGGTCACTGTTCCCATTAGTTTGTGGGTTTTCTTTGCAGTTTATTAATAGGAAAATCTTCCAACCCATGACTTGACCATCATCTGCGAAACACTGCTGAAAAGAGCTCAACGAGACTATCGGGCACAAATATTTGTGTTTTTTCGTACGGCCCATGCAACATCACTTACTCACTGGATCAAGCTCGAGTCTTTCATTTTATTTTAATTTTTTTTTCCTGAATTTTTGTAAAACAGTTTTCTTTCTCAACACATTTTCAAAAAAAGGTATATCATGCCCACTTCCTAACCTCTACTCGATAGAAAACTAACCCATTTATAAAAGTGAAACACAAGGTCATAAAAAGTGAAACCATACACCAGATACCAGTATTTACACAAGCCCATTAAATTACAACATAAATTAGAAAATATTTACATCCAGGACAAGACACTGGATAAAATTCTTAGTTTGGAATTTAATGTCTAATTAAAATTTGTTCAAGAAAGAAATATATACATTTACACACATTCTCACAACAAACATACACCCTGGGTAGACGGAAGGGTTTTTTTAGGTGGGTCGTAACTTTTTTTTTTTTTTTTTTAGTACAATAGAATTATGAACCTAACGTGGCCACAAGAAGAGGGTTGGCGGGTTTAAAACATGAGAGCAACAATGGAAGCATTGCTGCCTGTAATCCACATGAACACTGAAGAGGCCGTCAAGTCTCTGGTTTCTGACCATACGCAGATTGAAAAAAACTAAAAACATTTGTTCTTTTCGGCTCAATAGGATTCAAATCATCTTTCATGAATGAAGCACAATAACACTGATCCATTTTGAAGTGGTTGTACAATTCAGGCAGAAAAAAAATGGAGTGGATTTTCTTCTCTCGCTTTCTCATATAAAAACTGTCCTTGCAAGTCCATTGAGACTCAGGAAATCAGAGGATTTGCCTCCAGACGGAGCCGGAGAGGAGGCCGAGAGGAATTCACAGCCACAGCAACTCATCTTGAAAAATGTCTTTTGAGAAGAAAAAAAAAAAAAAAAAAAAACAGTACGCACTTTTGTTCTTTTCCTCATGTTGTCAACAGGGAGTAGGTCCGATGGCCGTAGCATGGCTTAATACCCCCCTCCCTCCCCCAGCAAGGTGGGCTCCCAGTCAGACCAGTTCACACAGGAGGTTGCTATTTGTGTTGATTTGAAGCAAACAGGGACAAGTTCTTAGGAATCATCCGCTTCTCAAAACATTTAATTAAAATTCAACAGTGCAATTACACAAAAACGCTCTCTCTTTCTCTCACATACAAATTCAGCTCTCAAAATGACAATACGCATCAATCAACATAGATTTTTTTTTTTTTTCAAAAATCCAAAAAAAGCCAAAAAAGGGCAGACGGGGCGGCGAGATTAAGGGAATCTGGGGGTCTCAAGTTCACAAGATTCTCCTCCGAGCGCTCATTTCCTGTGCTTGTCCATTTTGTCTGCAGATTTGCTCCCACTGTCTGAGGACCCCTGGGTGTCGCTACCGGAGCTCAGGTACATCTTGTCCACTTGTTTGAGCGCCTCGTTCAGGTAGTTCTGGAGCGAGGTCATGGCGGCGCAGATGGCCGGTGAACCGAAGCCGTGAGTGATGAGGCTGAAGTGGGTCAGGCAGCCTTGGATTCCGGGCTCCACGATGGGCGCCGGCCGAGAGTTCCCCAGAGGCGAACGGTCCTGAGTCAGCAGGTCCGTGAACTCTTTGCAGATTTGCCTGTTGGGTAGAAAACCGAATAATACTTTCAGACAAAAGAGGTTTGGATGTGACTGAAATGCTTTGGCAAATCAACGAAACCCGGCAACGTAAGTATCTAAGAAATTGTTCTTACGGTAGTTACGGAATGTCCTATTTTGCTAGTTTCCATGCACACTAAAGTTAATCTTAAAGGCGAGGACACTTACTTGGCAGCAAGGAGCATGTTCTTGCGAGAGTTAACCTCGTTGCGTTCCACGTGCGGCCTGCCCAGGTAATCAGCAATTGCCTTCGCTGGGAATTCCGTCTCACACACGTACCCAAAGTCTCTCGCTAAGTGAACAGCTTCACCTAAGACAAGAAACGAAACGAAGATCCTCTTTAGACCCAAGACAGGACTCTATATTTCTGAATAGAATAAATATTATTATTATTATGTCCCGTGGCCCACTGGGCAAAGATCAAATGGTAAGCTGGCCGGCTTCGGCAACTTATCAATTTAGAGCATTTACACGAGCAGCGTTTTGGACCCAATACACAGAAGCATCAAGGCACATGAAGTGACTACAGAATAATCAGCTGTGCTCGGTCCTCCAGCTTGAGGGAAGAAGAGCTTGTGAGATGAATATATTTCCATCTTGAGGGTGGTTTTGACTCTGCATGGTCATAATGGGTTTATGTGGATAAGCGCTAGCACAAAGTGCCCGCGGCGCCGGCAGCGCCGCCGCTTATTGATGGACACGCACATCGCTTGAGGATGCGGGCAGCTATTCACAAGCGCAATCTTTAAGGTCAGCAGGCCCTCCTGGCGAGTCAAACGCAAGATAACAAGGCTTAATTCAGCTTTGAAGGTCTCTAAATAACACGCGCCTCCAGTCATTCTGCGGCACAGAATCATCCGCCCATTTATGAAGAATTAGGCGTGTAGGCAGCAAGAGAGGAGAAAAATATTCTACCTCAGCCCGCGGCCGGTGGAGGTGATTAAAGTGATAAAAGTTCTCACGGTGAAGCGTCGGCGTTCGGCTACGACTGAGGTTTTAGCTTTCGAGGCATTGACAAGGACAGGTGATCCTTATAACATAGACATCTATACACACACACGCACATATAACTACGTGATGTTAAATACCTGCAGATCTGTGATCGGACAACGTATAGCTCACAGTACAGTGTGATGCTGAATAATACCATCGTTAGTGCGGTAGTTTGTACCGAAAGGTTTTTGCGAGCGGTCGGAAGTAAGTACTCGAAAGTAAACCAGCTTGCCTTCAAGAAACTCCAGGCCGAAAAGACAGCATCGCCATGGGAACAGAAGGAGCGCAGATATGCAGCCAAAAGTTGCGTTCCTTTCATGTCATAAACACTTTCGACGATGAAAAGTGTCGCTTGAGACGTTGCACAACCACACACTTAAACGAGGTGGACATTCTCACTCCGAGGCAGCCACATTCCAGCCGATGCAAACAGCAATTAAATGCGCGAAGGTGCGGATGCACTACTGAGTGACGCGCCATACCTTCGACTAGTGACGTGAGTAGTGTGACATTGGCGGCCTTCCTTCTTCCTGCAGGCAGGTTGAGCCCGATCTTATCCAGCTTTTCTCTCAGCGAGCGACCTCCGTTCTTTGATTTGGCTCTGCAGAAGAACAACAGCACAAGCATGCACATCACACGAAAGCAATGCGCCTTTTTTGTCGATCCCTGCACACACAATATTTGGTCGACATCTGCTTAAGAGCGCTCATTTGAAGAAGAATACATGTGCGTGAGTAGTGTGCTGTCAGCTGAGATCTAGACATTGCAGAAAGTACTGTCAGGGGGTCTCATTGTGCGCTCTGGAAAACAAAATGAGTCACACCAACACACTTGAAAAGCGCTGCACAGAAAACACTTACACTCCCCAATTGCAATGGCCGATACACATGACTGGATGGCAATGTCTCCCTCCCCATGGCGGGTGAGAGAGGGAGCATCTTTAGGGAGGCTTGTGTGTACGAGGGCCCCCACCCCCTCTGCTAACGATCCCCCTCCTAGTGCTATATGACCTACTTAAAAATGTCTGTGATTGTGCGCGTGTGTGTGTGTGTCAGCATTAACACAGGCACATGGGAAGTGGCAAACGTGCACTCAAAGCACAAAATGCTGTCGTCGGGGGCCGTTTGTGTACATCCTGTAACCGCAGTCCCTCAACAGACGGCCGCACTAACATATGTGCCATAAGGTCAATTGTGCTGCCACGGATGAACCGGCCGACGCTGCAAACCCCGACAAACACGCCAACGCACACACACACACGCACACACGCGGTCTTAAGAGAACTGGCCCGGCATGTAACCTATTCATCAGTGGAAGCAGAGAACCAAAATCGAATACCAAAGTGACAAAGAATGTCACAAAACGAGCAGAGCTCTTAGAAAAGCTCCTTAAGCTTTAGACAACCTTCCCAAGCAGGGAGGTAATAGAGCAATTGATTTAAAAAAAGCTATAAAATTATGTTTAAATTAGATCCCCTTATCCTTTGTGAGTGACATCCTACCGTATTCCTTGTGTTGTACTGAAGACTTTTTACAGACAAACAACAAATCGTATCAAATCCAACTTGAGTCGGAGCTCTGACCTGCGTAAAACGCCTCCCAGGAGCGACGCGTTGAGGCACTCGGGGGGCGACAGACGTCTCTGGACCTCGGCCACGGTAACCTTGTACTTGGAAGTGGAACTCAGCAGGGAAAGGCGGCCCGGTACGGAGCAGAACACCTCCGTGGGGTTTGATACCATGCCCAGAAGAGACTCTTTCTGGAAAGGAAGACCCAGCACGTTGCCTTTGGGTAGAGTGACAGGCCCTGGAGGGTGAGAGGGGGGGGGGGGGGGGAGAAAACGTGGGTAAGCTGAAGAGTGAAAAACAACAAAAGGGAAGACAAAAAAATACTGGTTGTGCAAAATAATGTGTTCTCGAAGCACTTCTCCTGTGTATGCATATAAACGCTAATCACACTAATTTCTTCTTCTTCTGTGCAACAGAGAGAATGTTTTCTTGTACGTAATCACAAGGAAGCGTGTGCATGCTGATCTGCACAACTGACAAAAGAAATATTGTGTGGTTTTCCCCAAACATTGGTTGCCTGATGGTGAAACATCTAAAACGCCCTCGTGCCAAACAGGTACACACACACACACACACACGCACACACACACACACACACACACACACACACACAGCCCGTCACCTAAGCAACAGATACACCTCAGTTCTGTTTATTTGGTCTCAAAGGCTCTAGGTTGAACAATGTGTGTGTGTGTGGTTTTTATTTTGCTGGTTTTAAAAGTTTTAAAGGCAAGTTTTTAAACCCAGAAAAGCAGTGACAGTCATCGGACAAACAAAACAGTACAGCACAACTACAGAACATCAGCTATCTCACCAGCAAGAATTCCCCCCTGATAATAAGTCCTCTGTAAGCGATCAAGGTTCCTGCCACCTCGTAGTCCTAATACTGAGACAGAAATCACAGAGTCACATGGGTGCTTCGCGGCTCCTCCGGGGCACGTGGCTGGGAGTGACATGCCGTTGTTTACAAGTGGAAGATCTAGATGGCCCATAGCACGGGCACATAATGAGCCATCACTTATTTCCGTAGCCAGTGGGGACTAGTTGGTTAAATGCGCCGTGCTAACGGATTTCTACTTCCAACGCTATGCAGTGTTAATATTTCAACAAGATTTGCTATAATGCTTTTGGAACGTCACAGTATTCACGGTGTAAAATCACAAATGTCATCGTATTAAAAAAAAAAGTATATTATTACAGTATATAGTTGTATGATTATTGTGTAGATATTTCCAGAATCTACCAACGTATTCATCCACATATCTGCATGCGTATGGTTCAAATAAATGAAGAAAGACATGCAAGCAGTGGAATAATGTTACTCAAGCGGATTTATGAGTCAGTCTGTTTGATGAAGCCCTGGTGACAAAGCAAGGGGGGGGGGGGGAGAAGTTCTCACTCAAAACACAGTTCATGTCCCGACAAATAACTAAACTGTCCTTCACATGCGAGCCTGATGCCACACCCCGCCAAAAAAGCTGGTTCTGCAGAGCAAAACACGGCTCCAAGACCAACTCATAATTTCCTGTTAACGTGAACTGAAAAGAGCTGCAATTGCAAGCTTAACCAGCCTAAAGATGATCCAAAGCTTTCCTCTTCTTCCACAGTCAACACCGAGGTTGTGAGATTGCTCAATCTTCATGTCCTGTCAGCTGGAGTCTGTCGGGTTTTTTTGAAAAGGGATCAGTTCTTTCCTACCGGGCACCCATTCAAGCACCTTCACCAACAGAAAAGGCGCAGGATCACAGCCAGATTAGATAAGTGCATCTCATGGCTAAGGAGGATTATCAGTGTATGCAGTGCAAGTACAAATACAACACTCCTCTTTTGCTGTACTGAGTGCCCTGACATGCCACTATAGTAATTGTTATGACAATTCCTGTATATAGAGAGTGAAAAAATATGGCCCTTGCAGTAAATTTCCAGCCACTGCCAGAAATTGCTGCATATGTGTTTGCCTGCACAAAGACGCATTTCCAAAGAATAAATCGGCCTTTGGTTAATTTTTTCTTTTCAAATTAAGAGAGTTGCTGTTGTTGTTGTTTTTTCGATTGAAGATTAGATTAAACATGCAATGAACTTACCTTTTTTTATGACCGTCTGGTCTGCCATTATAACACTGTGGTCATCTACATGCTGACAGAAAAAGAACAGAAGCATTAAGCAATTAGGGACAGCAAGTACAAATTTGTTTTTGTCTTTTCAAAATGACCGTTCCCCTTTTTTTCCTTTCTTGCTGAACAAAGAAAACAATATAGATAAAGCAATATCTGTATGCAGAGTAACCAAACAACTTCAACTTAAACTTTAGTTTTAACCTAAAGCGTTATACGGTATTTGGCTACTTGTTTGAGCACGCAAACTCACGCACGTGCAGTGTGCGCACACACACACACACACACACACACTCACACTCACACTCACACACACACACAGCTGCAAGTTCAAGTACTCATCGGTTCCATCCACTCACTTGAACCTCGTCCAGTCCGTGCCCCATGTCGTGCATCCCCATGCTGTCGCCCCCAATAACCGACGACTCAATGCCGTGCACGTGCGGGGGCAGCAGCTCGGGCCTCCGGAAGCCTTCCCTCCTCACCCCGGACGAGCCCTCCAGGCCCAGGATTTGGCTGGCCAGGCCGCTCCTGCCGTGCGCGACGAGCCCGTCCTGGCCCTGCCGACCGGGCCATTGCTGCTGGTTCGACGACTGCGACTGGTGCAAGGAGTTGATGTTGAAAGGGTCCCCGAGGTGGGAGTACGGGTCGCTGGACTGCGGGTAGGAGATGGGCTGGTACGGAGGCGGGAAGTACGGCGGCTGGAAGTCCGAGCTGGCCGGGTGTGAGAGGGAGGGAGACGGGCTGTAGAGGTGCTGACTGACCGCGGGCAGGTGAGGCAGCCGGGGGTTGCCGTTGCTGTTTCCGTCGTGCCTTTCCTGGGGGGGGGAGGATACAGGTCACGTGATATAGCTGATAACCAAGTGGCAGGTTGTGATGGCATGTGTCCCTTAAGGGACTCGAAGTGGCATTTATCCACTGGCATGATGCCTAATGGTTCAGTGAAGAGCGTGAATATATGCAGACGTTGTGTTTAAATGAACTGAAATTATTATTATTATTATTACAGTGTAAATGGACACAATTTAATTGCTTACTGAATTATATCACAAGTATTGGCCCAAATTGATAGCGTGGTAAATAACCCGAAGTTTCTAGGAAATATGTTTATTTTATTCTTATATTAACATTGATGTGCTCAAAATAAAGTATAAGCCTGGTGTTGCTGCCATCGAAAGTTATTTTGCATTTATTTGGAAAATACTTTGTGTAGTGTGCTTTGCTTCCACAGCTGGCGTTTCGGCTATTTTTTCAGAATTAATATACGATCTTATCTCCGTTTATCTTATCGTGCACATTAACACATGATGGTCTTTTTTTGTATTACTAACAGTTACACTCGTCCGTTAAATGTTACTTTTGTAACACGCCAATCCAAAAGCCACGTCGCTATCCCTCGTTTTGTCACTTTCGAAACTCACCTCGCAGTCATCCTCGTACTTCACGTTGTCGGCTAATTTCCACAACATTCTGACAGAGAAAAGGGGCCCACTGCTTTAAAAAAAAAAAAACTAAATACAAATTATTAAAAAAAAAAAAAAAAAACTTAAATCCAGGTATGACAAAAAGCCCAAAAGCTTCCTCGGTGCCCGCGAACAGCCGTGTTCTTCAGCTGCGGCGAAGTTGCGCGTGAAGGCTGAAGGGGCGAAGTGACCGAGCGACTGACTATCCAACCACAGATATGACTCCCGCAACAGCCACTAAGGGAGAAAATAACCGGTGTCACGAAATATCTCCAGCGAGCAGCCCCCCCTTCCTCCTCCTCCTCCTCCTCCTCCTCCTCCTTCTCCTCTTAGTCCGGGCAATGCGTTCTCTGGCTCTGCCGTGGAAGCGGGCGACGACGGCGCATGCAAGAAACTCGACTCCCTCTTATGGACAAAAGAGCGATGTTCATAAGTCGTATTGGTGCACGCGTTTAGCACCGAAGGCTACTTTATGTGCACAGTCGCTGCGAGGAGGCGTGGCCCTTCAAGGTGATGTCAGGGGGGGGGGGGGGGTTAAGGAAAATATTGCTGATTGGCGGGATTTTGCGGCCAATCAGAATTGGGTCCGTCTTTGAAGCGTCAGACATTGACTTTGCCAAAGGGAAACTTCCTGTGGATGAAGAGTCTCTCAGCACCTACTTGCCTGTTTGTGTTCATCTCCCCAGAAGCCTTTCTAAACGTGTGGGAGGACACCTGTTGGCTCCGTGGAGGATTCTATTCCTTGCAGGCGTGCTCGTGGGCAGACATTTTCAAAATTACAGTTCTTAGTATATACATGTTAGAAAAAAAGACAACATTGAATTACGATTGCTATGTGTTGTTGTTTTTTGTCAGAGCGAACTCAAGTCGCATAGTTGCAGAGAACCTGATGGGGAGGTTATGAGGCTCAGGAATGCGTCTTGGGGTTTTTTTTTTTCCCAAAGGGTTCGGTTCAGTTTATTGGTGTTCTTAATTTAACAAAATAATCTAATATACTGCACAAAAAAAATCCTAAGCAGGTTAACAAAAACTATTGATTTTATGACTGATGTTTACATATGTAAAGTATTTGCACAGTATATATATAAAAAATAATTATTAATTATTAAAAATAAATTATTGACCACTTCAAGAAGGCCTCTTAAACTGTCATTCCTGTCTTATAATAATAATAATAATAATTTATAATAACAATCCAATGAAAACAATACATGATTATTATTATAATTAATTTATATTAATATTGTGAATTTCGCTATGTAATCAGCACAATGAAGTAGTAGAATAATGACTGCATAGCACTTCATTTGACTGAATCCTCAGTGTTGCTAACTAACTTCTTAGAAAATCATTACAATGTCAAGTTATTGCAACTCTGATTGAGATGCATGATTACAATGATAGGCCCTCAAATAAAGCAGTGACATTGTGATGTTGGTGTTTCACAGTGGTGGCTAAATGCTCCTTTCAAACCGCAACAAGCTCGAGGGGTTTTGGCAGCATCATTCTCTCCAAAAAAAAAACTCCGAAGCTCAAAGGATCTCAACAAACAACTCTTTCTTCACCTCATTTACATTTTTGGTGGAGCTTTTCTAAAACAAGGCTGCTTTGAAGCTCTGATATGCATCAAAACTGAGAGAACAAAAGATGTTCGTTTTACTCTTTTCCATTTATTCATAACGACCCAACTGTCCATTATGTTGGTACCTTTCAGTCCATTTTACACCTCCTTCCTGAACAGAACGTCCGTGCATCATTCGGACTCATTTTATTGACGGCTTTGGTGTCATTTGACAAATTTTAAATGTCAGATTATAATTTTCGGAGATAAATGGGACAGATCTTGGTATTTTATAGGGCCTGTGGCGATCGGCCGTGCGTGGGAACAACAGGACGTGGACGTGGGCTGCTGAGGATTACCCTTCTTCTTTTTCTAAGTGTTGGTCACTCGCTGTGATGCGAAGCAGAAGTGAAATGCGCGCTGATTAAATGCTGTTTTACGTGGGTGAGCGCGGGGCGACCTCCTGAAGGGATTCAGTCACGCTTGCTTGGCCTGACGGTGATGTTTGGAACAATTCTGATGCTCAGCAAGTCGTTTTAGTAACAGTCGTCTGCGGTTCAGCTGCTGCCAGGTGTAAAGATTAGATGGAGCCATGCTGGGATCCTTCTGCTCAGTGATTTCTAAATTGGTTTGCTACACCGATGTCCACATAATAAGGTGCATTAAATGAAATGATGCCATGCACAATAAATCACATTAAAGCCCCAAATCGCCGGAAAAACCCAAACACCAAATAGGTGTATTGTATATAGGTTTTGTTCATATTCTGTAAAATGATGCATTATTTTATTTTATCTATTAAGTATTAAAGCAGGCGATACGTGCATCACTCGGCGGTAGCCTACTGCATTAAATCCTTCATGATATCGGTCTGTTCTACGCAGCAGGACACTGTTACAGTTTAATAAAATAAATAATACATCTGCGATGGTCATCTTGTTGAAAGAGAAATACATTTCCAGTTCTGTTTCAAATACATCACTGATTTATAATAAATTTGCCTCAAGCCAAATTACTTACTACGTTTCTGAGTGAATTAAGCCACGGCCATATGACATTAATCACCGGTTATTCAAAAGCTGCGGTACCGCAGACAGGTGACTATTGGTGGGAAGCAGTAAAACAAACACCGCCCCGGCGAGCGAATAAAACCCCACGCAGGTCGGCTGTAAGAGGGAAGAACTCACCCTCCAGTCTATCCTCTCCAGCACGGACATCTCCACGGCTCGAGGCGGCGCAGCGATCCCACCGACACGCAGCGAATGAGTGAAAGCGCGAGAGGTTCCCGTGGCCGACTTCACCTGACAGCCGCGAAGTGCGCATGCGCCCGCCCGGGGTAACACACCTGAGTGGGATCGAAGAAGCCATCTGTAGTTCCTTGGCGGAGACACGCAATGGACGCGTTTTGTCTAAATCAACGTGCATATTAACATTGATAAGATGGGAAGAAAAAAAATTAATATCTCTTTATATTTGCAAATAAAGTAAGCAGGACCTATCAGATCGGCCCTATGGCAAAGATACTTGTTTTTTTTTAAATGTAATAATTATCTGATATTGTTGAGAGAAAAAAGAAACAATGTCATAGAGGGTAAAAGGTAAGAAAAGGTGAAAATAAGACGTGGGGAAATTTCAAGATGAGGTAATCCCCCCCAAAAGCCACGTCGCCTCAGGCTGACCAAAAGAATCTGCTTTCAAAAGCCTCTGAAGCTTTTTAAGGCCTAAAATGGCTGTTGTTATCTGATCCCCTAAATACTTTGGCTTAAACTAATGAACACATCAAAGTGTTTTTCGCTACGTGGTTTAAAATGTAGCTTACATTTCTTGTTCTAAGAAAAAATAATCGTACCTTCCCGATCCGCCAGACACCTTAAGTCGCATCAAACAATACCGTTTGAGCAGTGGGTAAATATAATGAAACAAGATCGTGCGTGTCTCATGCCTATATTCTGATTTACATATTTTAATTCCTATATCTTAATATCTACAGATCAATTAATTTCAAATGGTCAGCTGGATTGTTAGTTTATTGTGAAAAACATGGTCGGACAATCCAACTGCATGTGTTACAGGGATATGATTTACAGCTTAATTTACATTATAAATGATATTTTAGTGCTCCCAAAATTATTATGCCACAAATGATGACAAAGCTAATGATGTGCTTTTGAAATAAAATGCTACTGAAATATATGCAACAAAAGAAAGATAATGTTAGAGTTAGAATGTTAGTCTTTGGTCCCGCGCAGACATGGACTTTCTTTGTTGACTCACAATTAATAAAAAAAAAGTTCTTACGTGAGCTTATGTGGTTGTTATTATTAATGCATATTTTTTCAAGAAATCACCTAATGATGAATGCGCAGAAAGAAAAAATATATATATATATATATATCAACAAAAACTATTTAAAAAAATGTCATCATGCTGCTGGATGGGTACGAAGTATTTATTTAAATGTTTAGCCACACTGATTGGAATATTTATGGTGTAAGTTGCATGTAATGACAAGCAGGCAGGCTGCCCCTGTTAATTCACCCTGCGACCCCAGTTCAAGGCTTTTCATAGCAGCGTGTGAAAAACACTCTGCTGCCGCCTAGCGGCGGCGTCATCACATTGCCACGCAGCTGAACGTAAACGGAGATTTTACTTCTGGATTATTTAAACATGGTCAAATATTTTATAGATTTCTATAATTATGACTAGATTCTAAACTTAACGTCATGTCACGAATGTCATGCTTTAGTTCCTGAGAATTTTAAGGGATTTGCCACTTTCACCGAAAGCAGAGGTTTGTTCCTCCATGTTCCTCGGTGAGCAGAAGCTGATCTATTGCTTTATTGGAGAACATGCACAATAGTACACACTACGCGTGACTGCAAACGATGTCTGCTTTAGTACTATTAAAGTAGAGTCAGACGCTGCCATTTGGGTGCGCTGAACAACACTGAACTTCATAGCCGCGGCCTTCCTGCTTGTAAACACATTCAGGCCGCTGTACTTAATAAAACTCAAGTGTTTTTGGGTGTGAATTTCCCGTCAAAGGCAAAGCGGGGAATTGTTACATCGCTCTTGAAATAATATGAAATCAAAATCTCAACTGGACTCAATATAAATTTATTTTTTGGCATTTACTTGTCACATTCAAAGAAAGAAAACAAACAATCCAACTGAAAACCAGAGGAACAAATTCTGAATGTCCTCAAAAAGACAACTGTTAAAATGTAATGATTCAATATATTTAGTTGTTAAACTGAAAGCCAACATATATTTAAATATGTTCATGTCAATGGTCTTCCTTTTAAAAGAAAAGTTTGCTGATGATTCTAAAGTATAAGAAACATCTGTTATGCAATACATAAGAATGTTTGTATTTATTCTGCTGAGGGCAATATTCTGTTGATTCATGAGCTTTAGAAGCTTCAGCAAGTCCAGCAGATTAAGTCAATAGTCCATAACAATCGTTCACTTGGTGATACAAGCACCACATTTGGTATGATTAATGCCCAAATACGACTCTTTCAGAAAGGCCCGGTATCCACTCCTAGATGGCGGCCATTTTTCAAGATGGCCGTTGCCAAAAAAGGTAATAATGGTGTTTCAGTGTAGAACTAGAATGGCTTGACATATTTTGTTGATCTAGACATTAAAATGTATGCATTTTGACACAAGAAATTCAATGGTGCCAAGGAAAATTCAATGTGGCTGCCATTTTTCAAGATAAAGGTCATTTCTTTTTATTAATTGCTCTTTTTGTTAGTCTGCAGCTTCCTTTTCTTTCACACGTTCACCGGCTGTAATGTTGTATCAGCCTTTTGTGGTAGGAGGCAAATAGACTGCATGGCAAACCTGGGAACCTCAGCCAATACCCACCAGTCACACATGATGCAGACGTCAGCTGCAGGTTTTTTGTAACAATGGACGACAAGAACAGCACTGCTGATGGGGTTGATGATGCCAGACTCGACCCATTTGCTCGGAAGCAGAAATTCAGAGTTAATCAAAATTGGATAACCCAATTACATATATATAACCGCATCTGCTGGTGGCCATCTTGGAAAATAGCGGCCATATTGTTTTTTCCATTTTTCAAAAATATAGGTCTCGAAAATTTCTACCAAAATTGATGCTTGTATTACACAGTCAAAGATTTTTTCGCTAATCTGCGTGGCTGTTAATAACCAAGATGCTTCCAAATGTCGTCATGTTGCTAAACAAATTAAACCTTTTTTTTTTAAAGAAAATAAACAAGCATGGCGATGAAAATATATCACATTGTTCTGTGTTAAATAGTATAACAAGGGTGACCAAGCTAACACTGGGTGAGCTAAAAAAAAAAAAACCTGAAGACCAAATAACAGAAAAAAATGCTTTAAAGATGTAGAGATTCTACTTTATTTTGCCTTAACGGAATATTAAAATTGAGAAGCCCCTGATGAAGGAATCCCTTAAAAAACTATGCACTCTGGCCACAAGGAGACAGCAGAGTGACAGAGATAAAAAAAAATGTCACCTGGCATCAATTCTCAGAGCCCCTCTGACTGGGGACATGGAGAGGTTGGGGAATACACAGGAGTGAAGTTACAAAACAAAAGAGGCTGAAGAGCTCGGGGAGCCATTAACAAAATATCGACAACACACAAACACTGAGCTACAGGGGACTGAAGAGACATATTGGGACCGAGTTTTCACACGTGTGTGTGTTGAGGGACGGGAATGTAGGACTAGCTTCGTCGTTAATGGTTTTTTTTTATTTCTGGAGCAATCTTTGCTATGAGCGATGGTTCCTAGAAGTGATACGGGGTGTGCGTGACCCAGTTGGAGGTCTGGTCTTTGGTGCGCTTGGCAGAGCTGTGGGTGGTGAACAGGGATTTGAAGACCTCAGACTTCTCTGTCATTTCCTGATAGGACCTTTTGCTGTTGGAAGACATGGAAGACTTGCTGCCTTGAGAGGAAATGGAGGATCCAGAGGGTCCGGCCACAGCTAGGTGGGGAAAGAGAAAAAAAGAAAAGCTTAAAATAAGGGAATATTCTACTACTTTCTCTGTTCTAAAACATATTTACAATTGCTATTCACCTAGTTCTGTAATAAACACATTTCTCCAATGGAGTGGTGTTCATTCACTGACAAATGACATCGCTTGGTCTCAAATTGTGCACCCTAAAGTCCACTTTGTGTGTCTTTTTTTGTGTGCTTTGCTACCTGACTGGCTGCTTTCACCAGGATTCTGCTCTGAGCTCCCCGTCAGGCCCACTTCTTCAGTTTGTGTGTCCTCTGGGGGAAGAAACAAGAGGCAGTTTGATAACTTCATTTGACGTTTTATTTAAGTAGTAAATTAGCTAGGATTTCAGAAACTGTATAAATAGTAAGAGTTAAACACATGATACGGAATTTCAAAAGGTTGCGTAGAAGCTCTCTCATTCAAGGTGAATTAAACAATAAAATAGATTTAAAAACAATGAAACTGGGATCTATATCAGTAGACATGTGGAGATGATAGGTGGTAATAATTGACTGTTTTCCAATGTTCCATCTAATAAGCCTTGCCTAGCCTCCTTGGACTCCTTGGAACATGCCGACTCCCCCGCATGTTCACTGGGCGGAGGCGAACCCAGGACATTCTTGCTGTGAGGCGACAGTGCTAACCACCTCGACACCGTGCCGCCCTCAAAAGCGGCAGTTTGCCCTTTTGAAATAGTTTCATCAAAAAACGTTTGATTTGTGCAACAGATATAAACATCAAGGGTCTTTCAGCAACATCCTGTTCACTGGGGAGGATGAGAACCACGTGCGGCTCTGAAGAACTAACCAGGAAACGGAAGATAATAACTTCAATGAGTGAGCCAGGAAAGTACCCCCACACCTAAATGATGTAATGTGTGGAATGAGGACAGAAAATTTGCCCCTCAGTTGGTGAGATCAGAGAAAACCAATAATAAAAATACTAAACGACAAATGAAAACCCTTTTATGAGAGGAAACATTAACCGTCTGTCAGATGATGATGATCTCAAAGCACATGTGAATTATTTAAAAAGGGTTTGCCTATTAGACTCAGCCACTGGCTCAGAGGAAGTTGTATCCATCATCCACGTCTCCCAGCAAAGTCTAAAGATAGCTACAATATCTACCGACTCAAGTGGTTCAAAGGTGTTTTTATAGCAGATGATGGTGTCACATTCTACTGCGTTCTTCTCACAAAGAATTGTAAAAAGATATTAATGCGTAAGTGTGTACTAAGACCTCGTGCGAGTTGATTGTTTGATTGAATAAAAATTCAAGACATTATTCAAATGTCGTGTTTTTTTAGCCGCCTGCTTTTGTTTGTGTAAAAAACAGATTTGTCTGAATATGACGGACGACGCCTCAAACAGGCTTTGCACAAACCTTTGACTTCCAACGCTGTGGACACCAGCTGGGTCTCAGCTGCTTTGCTCTTCTTGGATTTCTAGAAATGAAGCCAAATGCATTGATTAATGCAATTTCAAAACTCTTATTCAGGCTAGTATTGTGATTGGACAAATCAGTTTACAAAGAAACATCCGGATAGCATCCAAAAGATAAAAATACGTCGCTCTCAAAAGTATTTCTAAGTTCCTCCGACCTGCTCTCACATCATGCCCTTCAAATATCTGTATTTCTTTTGAATTAAAACCCCACCTTGGTTTTGGCTTTGGCCCGCTTCTCTTCCATCCTCTTCCTCAGCTTCTCCACCTCCTCCTTCGTGCCATTGAGCACAACCAGATCCTCCACTTTAAACCCGTCGCCACACTAGAACAAAAACAGGAAAACTCAACTTCAATAAAAACAGTGAGAAGAATGAATATCGGAAGGTGGAACAAGGCCGATTGTTTAATCGCATCAGAACACATCGATATCTTCAAATGTTTTTTATCTACGGGGAAGTTGTATACAGCTGCTGTAAACCAGTGAGGTTGCAGACGTACCGCCAAATGGTTGCATAAGAATAAAAAAGTGAGTGTCAAACAACCCTGAACTTGTAAAAGCTCCAAAGCACGTGGCAGAACACAAATCTGAAAACAATTAACTTGAAGTCATTATTTACCTTCATTGGCTGGCAGCAGCAGTACATATTTTAATCCCCTTTTATTTTTTCCCTTTTTATGTCATAACGTTTGTTACTTATTTATTTGGGGTCCTGGGACATTCCTTTTCGAAGGGCTGAAAACCCATAACTTACACAGGAAAGTGACAGGAATACTTTTAATGTGTTATCTTTGCACATACATTTAACTAATAAATATATTTCGGTATGCGGCTACTTTAAAAAGGTGGACTTTTCAGAGGTTACCCTGATTTACAAAACAAATCATCTGGATACATCCCGACATACAAATGGGCAAACAGCTGTAAAAACAAATAACGACAAGGGGAAAGGTCCACAAACTCTGCTTAGAGGTTCAGGTGCACCACAGATAAGGAGATGTGCTCCTACTTTGACTCGCAAATCCATGTTTGGTTTTTTTCCTGCTTAATAGGAAATGTTTCCACGTTCCGTGTAGCAAAATATTTGAACAGAAATAGCAGATACGCTTCATTGGTCTCAACACGTTTCTGAACACAATTATGAAAGTAGTCCAGATCACGTCCATCACTCATACCTTCTCTTTCAACTACATTTGCATGCAGGAGTGTAATTATTTTACCTACACAGCGAAGAACATGGAAATAGGCTTAGACTAAACTAACAAGTATTACAAACATTATCACCTGCCAGAGCATCCAGTCAGGAACACACTGCCGTCTATTCCACTGCAGTATTCTACTACACGTTTTTGGCTCCCGTCTACATTAACGTAGACGTGCGAAAATTCGTAGACTCTCGAGTCTCTTCAGAGACTCTCTACCCACCGACCGATCCGAACCATTTGAGGTCGATACCTTTCCTTAACCTGGCGGTTATGCAAAACACACAACAAAGGAGCTTCCATTTTAAAAAAGGGACCTCCACCCATTTTCAAAATCAACACATGTTGTTCTTAAAACCATCAGCAGCCATGAGAAACCCACTAACAAACCCAGAAAGTATTCACAGTCTGCCACTGCTCCGTCCGTGACATGGAAAAGATGTAGATGACAGAAAGCACACAGGGGAAAGCTCCAAGTATGTTGGTATATTTTGGGCTTTAGAGAGGAGAACACTACAACGGAACATTTGGTTTACAAAAGAGGAACATTATGTGAATCAGTTTCCTGCTCGTCAGCATTAACTTTTGATTTGGACCCAAGATACTCTGACTTACTTTCCTGGTTTCTGGCACTGAGGGAGAGCAAAAAAAAACATGTGCCAATGAAAAGTTGTTAACACTCAACTCTGCTTGTTAATCGAGCTTTGGAAACGGTGGACAGGGCACCGAATTTCATTCATTCAAATCAGTTAGGAAATGAACAAAATGGAACGTAAAAGTGTCAAGAAGTCACTTCTGTATGAAAGCCACACGGAGAAAGCAAACATTGCTGCATTTCCCCTGGACACGCCGAGCCGGGAGCAGATTGAGAAAAATCTCCCCTTTCATCATATTGTGTCTTACTCAGATGCAACAGCATGGTTGCTTCAAAGGAAGGTAAAACACACCCATATCCAAACACAAATATCAAACCCCCGTGCAGCCACCAAGGCGCTCTATTGTGTTGCCGTAATGCAGGCTGTGGGCTTGGAGGGAGGAAGGGGGGGGGTGAACTCTATGTGCTCTGTCCAACACAACAGGGATAATCTCAGAAGCTGACCAGGCAGCAAACAAACTCGGCGAGTGCTGCTCTGAAGTCAGTCACTCTGCCGCCGCCATTAACACGCCGGTTAGCGGGGGAACACAGGGAGGGGTACTCGGCTACTCGACGAAGACTGGCGCTCAGCGGAGGGTAATCAAAAGTGTGCACCTGCAACTGGGAGGGAAGAAAAAATGATGCAAAGCAAAAGGGACTAAAAGGGAAAGATGCACCAATCCACTCAGCGGGACATTTTAAGGGAAAGGGGGGGGGGGGGGGGGGGACTTAGAGAGAGAGAGAGAGAGAGAGAATCAGAGTGTGAGTGCGAGCGCGTAATGAGTCAGACGTGTGTGCCGCTGCCAGTAACCAGGCAGTGACAGACCTCGTCTCGTGGGGACGGAGGGGAAGCGACTTAATCAGCAATGAATACAACAGGAGGAAAAAAAAGAAAAGAAAGCAAGCAAAAGCAGAAAGCTCAAAGTACTCAATCGGTGTGCCGAGCACAGAGAGCGTACGGCGACAGACGACCAGGTTAAGGTCAGAGAAAGGACAGAAACATTGCTGCTACTGCTGCACATGGCTCCTGCTCCCCAACGCGCTGCGGCTGCTTCTCAGCAGCGCGCTCGCCGGAGCTGTTGAGGTGATCAGGCGAAGGCGCAGATGTCTAATGTTTTACTTCCTCGCCGCTGGGACGACGGACCGCGCTGCCCCCGAAAGGTAAATGGCTCACCTCGCCGTGTCTTTGGTATTCCGTCTCGTGGTGTCTCCATAGGAGCTCTAGATGTGAAGATTTAGACAGCAAAGATCTTAAATGGTATCTGATGGTAGATCGTATCTATATTTATACATGTACCGAGATTTAGAGCAAGGTCCGGGTTTTATCTCATTTTCACGCCGAGCCAGTCGCAGTTTAAGGAAGGTGTGACGAGGGGGGGTGTTGGCATCACAACAGAAGGGTAGAAACATATTTATATTTCCATGGCAACCCCGCCTACCCCCCTATGGAAAACTAGATCTTTGGTGTTGTTTTCCGAAAGCAGCGAGACTCGAGCAGCCGGAGGATTGGAGCGAGAACACTTGGGTGATTAGGACTCGTCCTCAGAGACCGGCCGTGCTCCGATGCTCCATAGCATCTAGTCTGCATCACAAAGAACGGGACGGCTCAGTAACGAAAGCTGCTTCCCCGTCTTTGTACCCTGGATACGGTTTAACTGAACTATCCAAAAGAACATCACTCGGAGTCAAACTACATCGCCGCTTCCATGAAGACCATTGAAAGAGATCAAATACTACTCATCGTATATACTTATTACAGAGGTCCTGTTCGTATGAAGCTCTTTCCGCATACCTCACAGAAATGTTGTTAGGAAAACCAAGTAATAGGTAAACTGTTATGTTTGAAATGATCGGCCAAAGGTCCTTCCCTCAGGCTCTACATTTCAATAATTGCTTTAAGTACAGCAAACATTGTTAACATTATAGTCATTCAGTGACGAGAAACAAAATGAATCGATTTGTTGAATGGATAAAATAAAACAATTGCTGAAACTTTTTTCTCAAATTTGCAAAATGCATTAATGAGAAATTGTCTGGGTTTTTTTTAACGGGACAATTTGTTTGTGTTAAATGGAAAAGGGAAGCCCTGTTTTTAGGAGGTTCTACTTTCCTTTTATTGATTCATGAAGCCACATTCTGCACACTGTTACATTTCCCAAAACTGGCTGCATCAAGCGCTATGTAGGTTAGCGCTAACCTACATATTTAACCCACTTTCACATCCCCCGGGGGTCCGAGACCCCTACTGCGAATTACCACTGTGGATGTCTTTATTGCAGGAGTTGTATCTGTGGTGGTGCTGTTTGCATACGGTGAAGCAGGGCTATTATGCGCCAGCTTAAGGGGACAAAATGCAGCTTCCTCTTGTGCCTGGGGATGAGTATCATTATTTGTTCAGTTATTTACATGAGGGCCAGGGTCCCAACAGAGCTCAAGCTGCTCGAGCCTCCGAGCTGCAGACCCTTCTCCGCTGAATGCAAAGCTTTACTGCCCGGCGCGGAGGACGGTGTGGAGAGGAACCGGCGGGGCTGCCAGGTACGTCCACGTCCAAGTGAACATGCAGACGTATCCACAGTAAATCACAAATGTGAGCTGCGCTTGGACCGGTCTTAATGCGCATTCTCTCCGTCTGTAGGTGGAAAGCTACATCGTGGATAGTCACACGCAGTGCTCCCAATTGATCGGAGACCTCCACTTCATCACGAGGCCTCTCAGCCGGGAGGAGGAGGACTACCCTCTGGCATTCATTGTGACTGTTCACAAGGAGCTGGAGCTCTTTGTGCGCCTGTTGCGGGCCATCTACATGCCACAGAACGTCTACTGCATTCACGTGGACAAAAAGGCTCCGTCCCAGTACAAGGCGGCCGTGCTGAAGCTGGTCGGCTGCTTCAAAAACATCTTCCTCTCCAGCCGCAGCGAGATAGTAACGTACGCCGGCTTCTCCCGCCTGCAGGCCGATGTGAACTGCATGAGCGACCTGGCGCAGTCCAAGACGGGCTGGAGGAAAGTGGTGAATCTGTGTGGACAGGACTTCCCGGTCATGAGCAACCTGGAACTGGTGCGGTACATGCAGAGCAAAGAGTGGAGGGACAGGAACATGACGCCGGGGGTCAAGCAGCCGATGTCCATGATGCACAGGACGCAGCTCAGGCACAGGGAGATAACGGGCTCGCATGTGGCTCTGATGGGCTCGAGACTGACGAAAGGACCGCCTCCACACAATCTGCAGGTTTATTTTGGAACGGCGTACTACGCTCTCACCAGGGACTTCGTAGACTTTGTTCTGAAGAGCCCGGTAGCCCAGGACCTGTTGGAGTGGTCCAAAGACACGTTCAGTCCAGACGAGCACTACTGGGTGACACTCAATCACATCGAAGGTAAACTGCCCGATTCAAATGGGTGCACAGCAGCACAAACTCCACAACCCCCCCATTAATTATTAACTTATGCGATTAGGCAGTTCAAACAAAATGAGATGTTCGATACAGAAACAAAATCAATGCAACAAGGTCAAACAGCACATTTGAACCGTAAAGGGTTTTGCAGGCTCATTGACTGTGAGCTTAGCGGCAAGATTTCAAATTTGCATGAGCTGTGCGGTAAATCCATTTGAGTGGCCAAGCGAAACACTTTGTATGTGGACAAATATTCTGTTGAAATCAGTGTGGAGAAATGGTTTGAAAAAAAAAAATATCATAATTCGCCTTAGCCATCATAATTATCGCTTCGCTTTGGAGCTGAGAGATATGGCCCAAATCTGTCATCACAAAATAGTAATTTCGAAAATTTCTAATCTCTGTGACAATATATTACATAATAAAGAAGGTTTTCTGATAATTCAATTGCTAAACAGCCTTAATGAAATAACCTTGTGGTTTTGTGAGCACCTCTGTAAATTGGAAGTGCTCACAAAACCAGGTCCTTCTGACTCTCTATATTTATACTCAAAGGTAACTCCCCAACCCAAAATAGTAATGCTGCCATTGGTCTTTACCAAGAAACTGACCATACAAAGAAATAAAATGAGTATAATTAATAATAATAATAGTAAATAGATTAGGATCTATTTCCTCTTTATTTTTGCAACATGTGTCACCTCACACGCACTTGTTGATAGACTGCTGTGTTTTATGATCTTCATAAAGTTTTATTTGACTACAATACTTCTCTTTGATAAGAAGACTGAGAAGTTATTCTCCACTGCTATTGTGCGTGAAAGTTAGAAGGATGAGAACCCACTGGACGGCAAATTCTCTTCCTCAACTCAGATGAAGAGCCCACAGAGCTTTTCTATTGGAAAGCATCTCAAAGAGGGAAGTAAATTAGGTGAATAAGTCAGATAAAAATGATTGGTTCTGTCTCCTGGTGTGTTTAAAGAAGCTCCCGGCAGCCATCCAGATGGAGGATGGGAGGGGAACGTCCGGTCGATCAAGTGGAGGGATCAAGAGGGAACGTTACACAGCGGCTGCCGAGGTACAGTACAGAACTGCGCGTGTGATAATGAGGAACTACTTTAAGGATTCATCACCGTCAGCTCTGCTTGTCTAGTGCATATCGTGTTAATGATATGTAAAGCGAATTCATAATGTCATTTAGATTTATCATGACATCATTACCTGTTCCACCAAAGCCACTACTACACACGTCTACTAATTCATTATCATTTTGTGTACGCCTTAGCACACATCCTTTTCTCTCCCGCCTACGACAAACACGCTGTCTGCTCCATACTCTGTTTTATGTTTGGCTCCAGACAGGATTACAGGACCCATTACTACGGCAACACAAGATTTACTCAACAAAAGATGATAAAAGGAAGGTTTACCTCATAAGATGTATTCTTCAGTAGCGCGTCTGTTTTTAATTTACCTCTTACGGGAAGTGTACAACAAAACAAACCCAGACATTCACTTGAATACACAAGTAAAGAGTGATGTTTTTGTTGTGTTCCAGGGCGTTACATACGAGACATCTGTGTCTACGGCGTGGAAGACCTGCCGTGGATCATCAACAGTAACAGCATGTTTGCCAATAAGTTTGAGAGGGACACGTATCCCGAGGCCCTGGACTGCCTGGAGCAGTGGCACAGGACCAAGGTGTTGAACCAGGCAACGGTTTCCATAGAGCCACCGTGGCTCATGGCCACACGGGGAAACTCAAGCAACAGCTACTTCAACGGCACCGCCGGAGCATGAAATGGCTGTTGGTTGTGAAATAAAACCGCCACTTCGGCTGGTCCTCCCGACAATGACACACACGCACGCACGCACGCACGCACGCGCGCGAGGTGGTGGCGGCCGTTCGGATGATCAGGAGACAGTGATATTGAAATGTAATTTATTTAAATTAGACATGTTATAGGATTTGAGACAACGACACAAGACAGGGCATTTTACGACTTAATATAAACTTTATATTGTTTATAGTAACTAAATATTTATTCTTTTTTATTCATCAGTGTGTGGTCCGGTTTAAAAAAAAAAAAGATTGTTTTTTTTTATTGAATAAAAAGGGGACATATTATGAAAATTCCACGTTGACATGTTAATGTGCCTGTCTGGGGTGTCTCCGAACCCCCAAACGCTGGGAAAAACAACCTGCACTGTAAAGATACCTGGAAGCTCCGGGGTTTGCCGACGTCATCAGACCAAGCGGGAGTCGCTTGCACGGCCTTGGTTTCAACGTCAAAGCATGTGAACGTGTTACTACGCTAAATACAAGTACGAGTCTTAAAATGAGCATATGTCTTCAATAAAAGTGTAGCATGTGCAAACTAAGACGATTTAAGAAATCTCCCTTCTTTCCTTTTTAAAACACGACTATTTTATGATGTGACGGAGGAAGCTAGAGTTCAAAAGTCTTAATTTATAGAAAGAATATGTAATCTCTTCCAAAATGTACATGTGTTTATCCAAAACAACATGAATCACTTTTAGACCGGTGGCCTACGGCCATGAAAGCAACTGTGAGGCTGCGCTTAGAAAAAGGTTGAAACCAACAGTCTCACACTGACAGTGCTAACCTGTTAATATTAAGCAGGTTTAGTGTTCACCATCTTTGGTTGGCATTCGGAAAAACACATTTTATAATTAGCAGCACAAAACACAATTTACAGCGAAGGCTCGGAGAAGTGAAAAACAAAATACTTCAGTATTCCCAATGGTGTTATCCAAGTCATGGTCAAGGGGGTTTAGTGCGGCAGCTTTGAGGCTTTCAAGGTAAAGCACTTACACAGAAGTTTTAAGCCATAGTTTCCGGAATACGGTTAGCGGTTATTCAACAATTGGATTCCACGGTTTCCTTCCCCATTTATCAGTTTTAAACAGGTGACTTGCTACGACAAAAGCTGCAGGCTCTGATCAGTTAAGGAAACCTTTAAACCTCTATCACACATAATTTATCTAAAACACACACAGACCCAGGGTGTGTTCAGAGCGTAAATCGCACTAAAAACAAAGGTCTGCAAAGTGCAGGCATATTGCCCCCCCCCTTTAAAGGCTGTCAGGCTGTCCAGTGGGTCATACTGTCCTGTTATTTTACAAATCATTAGGATAAAAGCAAAAGCGGCCTTCAACATGCAAGAAAAAATCTGTGATGCATATCAATTTTCACAGCACTGGTCAGTTAAATAGTAATAATAATAATAATAATAATGATGAATAAATGCTCAAATAATGTAAGGAACCGTCTACACTATGCCAGCTAAACATCGGATTAAATTAGAAGCAGGCAAAGTCTGCCTAAATGTCATTGGCTATAAATAAAATAAACGGCGTTGCCTAATAAGTCCATCTCAGAAAACATCTCTGCTGAGAGTCGGTTTCCCACAAGCGGGCGGCCCTGTAACTTTCCTCATGGTTTCAGGCCCTATTTATGGCAAAGTAAAATAACTGATCTGGGCTCAGATGCTTTCCCCTCCACAGAATCAACAACAGTAGCAACACAGTAGGCACTGAGAAATGACGCGCATAGCTATAAAATTACCTAAAATATGTCCGGTTCCCAAATTGTTCATAGGCCTGCATCGTATTTCCATGTTATTGGATTTGGATAATTGTCAGGAAATGACAGCTTAGAAAGTTGAACAGTAAACCATAATCAAAAGTAAGTGAGTCCCAGGGATATCTGGGCCTGTAACTACTAACAATGGCGAAAAGAAAGAGTGTAGCTAAACAAGGAGAGCGAGCTTTATGACAGATAAGCGGTGACCCCTTTCAAAACACCACGCAGCATGTACATAACGCATCAATAAATAATAGCTATGGGGCTCACACTCAACATTACACTTAGTCATCAACACGCACAAGTGAGAGGTCCATGGGTTGGGGAAATCGAAGGACAACAATAAATGCATTCATTTGACTTGCAAACGACACAAATCAGAGTAGGCCGCATGCTTTCTAGTGCACTACAAACAGACACCACGTGCAGACAGACAGCCGTGGCTCGGCTTACGCCACTTTTTGTTCACGTTTTGTACTTTTTAGCTTTTATATTCCGAGGATCTAATCAAAATCTAAAAGCAATCAATATTTCTCTTAATGCTGCTGTAATTATGGGGTCGTCGTGGCGCAGGGGTTAGAGAAGGTGTGCTGGGAAGCACAAGGTTGTGGGTTCGATTCCAGACTGTCCCATGTTCCATGTTGAAGTGTCCCTGAGCAAGACACCTAACCCCTAATTGCTCCCTGGGCAAAAATGTGAAAAGCCGTCTGATAAATGATCTGTAATGTAATGTAATGTAAAATAACACCTCCGGCTAAATTATTAAGCCAATAGTCTGCCATTGTGTTTACACTGTTGCTGTGTTCAATTATTTGTAGTGTACTGATTTTACAATAAGTATTTGTAGTCTGCTGAATACCTTAAATGGTGTTGTTTTTTTCTGGTTAGTTGAAACAATATATTCTGCTCTTCCTAAATTTCCACAACCTCCTATGGGAGCCTTGAAGCATTACACGACCAAGTATTAAGACACATTCATATTTATCTAAGCAACACATTGTGCCTCTGGCACTATGTCAATGACATTCTGGTATGGTGTTATCAACATGGATAACAATGCTGCCTATTTACCAAGCATTAGTGGTGAGAGAACCGCAGAAGCAGAAGTGAAACCCTGATAGCTCACTGATTGGCATTGGTCCAAAAGGAAAAATATCCATATCCATTAGGATGGATAATGGGGGAAAAAATATTTGCAGAGCACTGATTCATTGAAGCGATTTAAATGAACGGTGGAGAAAATAATGAAATATTTCTCACCTTGTGGCAGATTTCTGTCTTGACCTCCTTCAGTGCCCTGTCAGAAAAGACACAGCCACAGGTCTGCAGGTAACAGAACCTGAAAATGGACACATCAGGGTTTATAATAAGTTATATTTCCTGCACAAAGTCTGCCAATACAAGTATACATTATTTTTAACATTGTTTGATCTAAACATTTGGAAGTTAACAGTAGTGTTGAGTTCTGTATTACCATCATACTTGATACATTATACATGAAGCAGCCTTTTTTTCTTCTTAGCTTGTGGACCGTTACCTGTGCTTGCCGTTCATCTCCAACCCAACAACAGGGCAAATGAACATGCCACAGTGCATGTCTTCATATATGTCTCCTTTAGTATTGCTTCGCTCTCCCTTCCACTCGGGGTTATCAGTCAAGTTCAGCTCCTTAATATCCTTTTAGGGGAGTGAAAGGAATAATGGTTAAAGTGAATACAAACAAGTACATATGGATGGCAAATATATCAATATTATATCTAAATTGTGATGGAGTAGATATCATTGTAGATTTTAGATATTTATTTTCCAGACGGTTCTTTTTCTTTACCCACTCATTCATTGTATCAACATTGTTGATCAAAGCTTGTATTATTAAATAGCACACTAATATCAACAGCCACGGACACACCTAAATACATTGGGGAACGCATTGTTCAGCAGAGCTTTGACTTTTAGGGTAGCAAATATCCATGTCAACATACCTTGATCCCACGGATGTGAGTTACAGCCTCAACGTTGGGTCTCTCGGCGGTCTTATCCAAAAGATACTCGATGATAGAGTCTTTGTTATACAGCCTGAAACTCAACATGGACCAGACTTTTAGGACATAGTGAAACTGGAGTAAGCAGATATTTAAAGTATGGGTGACACAAACGCACCATCTGCTGTTTGTTCATGAACGTCACCTATAAAAAAGAAGCAGGCAACTCTCACCTTCCCAAGTCACAGGAAACAATGGGGCGTCGGAGTTTTTCCTGGCTCAAGGCACAGTATTTCCATTTGGCGGCCAATTCTGCATTTTTATCAACCTGGAGACATGGGCGAATATGAATGAGCAAATGTAGCGGCCACATTAGTCAACGGCCTGACGGTACATATTTAGTAACGTGTCCATAAACGTAACGTGACAAACACTAGTTACCCGTGCTAACGTTAGCTAGCTAGCTGTCGAGTAGTTAGCCTAACAAGACGAATTAGAAGCTGGCTAATATTACCGTAAAAGTAAATAACATAACTTTATATATCACTTCATCCATGCTTCATAATAGTCGACGCAAATAGCCATGAACTAATGATTGGATCGAGTTACTTTGATAGCCACCTAACTTGCAGCTAACGACAACACGGCTAACCGTTGGCGACTTTGAAAATGAAGAACCAATAAGCGTAACAAACCTTCTCGACTTTTTTGGGTCCTTTCACCAACTCGTGTCTTTTAGGAATCGTGCCACCGTCACATCCCATCCTGGAGGCTGACTTGAAACGTTTGAGTTTGAATCACCCGAATAGCTTCGGTTAGCTTGCTGTGAACGGAGCTGACGCGGACCGGAAGTTACCAGGTTGTAAACAAACAACGAGAGATTCGCAAAGCTCGCGCGATGTGGGGAAATTTGGTTTCGCCCCTAGTGGCTGATTTATCTCTTCGGATGTATTTTGTTGCATCAGCCACAGTGTGGAAGCACCAGCCCAAATTTCATTCCTTTTTCTGTTCAGTGAGCAGATCAAATGGGGAATGATAAAAACAAATACAAACGTTAAATAAATATTTAAAAAAGGTCACAATAGCCTAGTTCCTTAAATCATTACTAATAGTAACCTTTTAATAATGCTTCAAGCACCCACTGCCTCCAGTGTATTTCCTCACTACTGAACTCATGCAGTTACATCTGAAAAAACAAAACAATTTCACCCAGATTACTTTACTGACAATCCATTTATTCAACGTTTTTTTTAGTCAGCTATTAAACCTAGAACTAGTAAGGGACATTAGTCTGGCTTTCAGGCCTGTTGTCAGAGTGGTCTAAAGATGAAAGTTTCCTTGGAAGATAGTTCAATGAGTGCTAATTAGATTTGTTTCCTGTGCTTTGCAGGCTGCAGATTGGTTTACTATCGATGGCGCTGTCCAAGAGTGACCATTAGTTTGGGGAATACCTTAGTGGAGACATCTCTGGCTGAAACAGACTGATCATCTGTGCGGAGAAGAAAACTGAATAAAAACACGCTATTGGACTTCAGTTTGCCTGAGAAAGTAGATTTCAACCTATTTACGCTCACCACACACAGGCAGCTGGTAGTGGTTGCCAAAATGTAGCAAAATGAACACATATCAACACAAAAACATTTCTGCTTTTTCCCTGTTGGTTCGATTGGTTCTTCCTGTAATCTATAAATTGTGTTACGTGTCTTATTGAATTTCCCCCCTTTCTCACACAGAGCTAAATGTTTAGTATGGATTTTCATTAGATGCAATGGAGTAAAAGCTCTGTTAGCAAACTGTTGAGAGAGTGGAGAGCCTGAGGCTGATAGTGCAAGCCAACACCTTAGGAACACAATGCACAATGGCCACTGGACAAAGGGAGACGAGAACAATGGTCTTCTATCCTTGTCTTGCATGTTCTGCTTTTTTCAAACTGCAGAGTTCTTTGATGTATATTATAGTTTTGTACCTGATGCACCTAATCATACAACCTATCACAACAATCTCTTTAGAGAAAAAAATCCATTTGTATTTAGTTAGACGTCATATTTTCATGTTCTAAATCAGTTATAAACCCTATCGTCAGGACTTCACATCGGTAAAAACTACAAATATCTACAACCAAATATCTAGACATCCAAAATATTCTGATGGTCAAAACATAAACCAAAAATGCGAGGAAGTTAATTGTGTACTACTGGGATCATATAATGATCACATAGTGTGCGAGTGTTATGTGTCAACGCTCAAATACAACACTGTATACTGCGTGTACATTTTAAAAATAATATGAAGCTGATGTGTTACATACAGTCCAAATTCCATTCCTTAAATCTCCCCCTTTGATTGACCTCCCCACCATACACATCTTCCGGGCCTGCAGTGGTGCTACCCGGCACGGTTGACCCAAAGAAAACCCCAACCACCAAGCGCCCATCCGACCTCATGTTTATTCTTCCATGATGAGTCCAACCTGCCCAATCAGACTTCCACTGACTGGCCTTGAACTGAAACTGTATACAACTTAACCATCCCAGCCATCCGCGGCCGGCTGTGGAGACCAAGGCTGCATTAATTGCAACGGCCGGCCCTGGTTGTGCACCGAGTCCAATGCATTTAGCGTTTCTAATTGGGAAGGAATTGGTTTGTTTACATTGGCTGCAGTTGATAGAGCTGGACCCTTACTCCCCCCCAGCCAACCGGGCTAAAGTCCTCTCAAGGAGAAAAGGCCCGGCTCCGAATCTGAGCGGAAAGGAAATGATTTGGAACAGTGTAGAGGGATATTTACTCAATATAATTTTGGGTACAATGCCACGCTGTGAGGTAATCGAAGACTCTCTATTTACTGTACAGTAGAGGAGAAACTGCTTTAAAAACCTTTAGATTCGCAGTCCGACACACAAAGATAATCATTTATAATTATATAAAACAGGAAAATTCAGTATATCCTGAAATTTAACTGCATAACTTACTACTAATAATTATCAATGTGCAAATTGATTAATCAATTCATCTTTTCAGCCCTAATCGTGCCCTCTTCATTGCATCAGCATACCCTTTAACAGTATCATGACTTATTACATTGCACTAATACAATAGTCAAGCATGATCCAAAAAAGAAGGCAGTATAATAATATGAAGGCAGTTGAGAAAACCTTTTGTACTTTGTGTAATTTCCTGTGACAATACAGCAGACGAAGTGACAGCGAAATTATTGCAATTTAGCTGCAAATTCTGTCGTCGCCACAACATTTCCACTCAATAAAACGCCTCATATATGAAAGAATATTTTATTTGTGATTTTAAGCTGAATAGGGAACACCGCTGCACTTAGTCAGCTCTAACACCACGTATCAAGCCATGTGCAGGCTCATACCTAACATATAATGAGAAATCCCAAACTCTGGAAAAAGAACACCACATCCAACATGAAGCCTGCAAACGGGTTACCGCACACACACCAGTCGACCACGATTATTTTCTCATTCCTTTTTCTGTTTATGTTGAAACTCACATTGTTGAAATGATGCCAGTTGGAAACATCGCCCATAACTAATTTGTCTATCCTCTTGGTCAAGCAGTACACGTGTGATTAGCTTGCTAGAGCTTTCGCTGATACGGATTATTGGAAAGCTTGTACTGTAACTCACCCCATGTAGCGTGGGAGTGAGTGATGAACAGGGCGTTTGAAAAAAAATAGTTTGTATTTGTATTGTCACTAAATCTGATATGGTATGGATTAAATTACAAATTTAGTGGATTGTGGTTTACTATAGGTGATTCAAATTGGAATTTGGAAACCCTTTAGATGAGTCAGCAGAAAAGTACCTGGCAGTGTCTGTGTGTGACGGCTTCCAGCGTATGGCTGCCGAACAAAAACACACGTCCAACGTTGCCATGATTCTTCCAACACGCACGGTTTTCCCTCGCTGCAGCAGCCTGCTGTGGGACATTTTAAACCCATTTGGCTGCTACCGAAGTGTATAGCTCAACATTTTAATTACCACCCACTTAGACACACACACACACACGCCGTCCACCTGGACGCCTTTTTTCTTTTTTCTCACCATTATCCAGGTCGCGATTATCTTTTCCACCGTGGCGAACCAGTTCCGAACACCCGCAGACCCAAACCCATCCAGAACAGCTGAATGGACGCACACACGCACGGATGCTCCTGTGCGAGCGGACAACCGTGTGACACACACACACACACACACACACACACGTGATCCTGCATGGTCCCTATGTGAATGGAACAATTGCATGTGCTCTGGCAGCAGAGACACAGTCACATCTCATTAGCTTAACGGGACAGGCGAAGGGTTCTGACAGGGTCCTGGCCGTGGTCGGTGTGGCCCGGGGTGACGGGGACATGCCTGTGGCTGTCTTTGTGTACTCTGCGGGCATGTGGTGAAGACTGAGCACACGTAGCAGCTGAGGCCTGGCGGCCTAAGATTCTGGGTGTCCACGCCAGCCGCCGCCTCACCTTACACGTCTTCTGTAATATCGAACTCTCACTTTCTCGTTTTTTTTCGTACTTTCCCCCGTCTCGTACTTCCACACACTTCCGCGCACACTCACATTGCACATACATGAGGGGAAACAGTGGGTGATTCTGTGTACCGCTGTGCCACGATGAGCTCAGCGCTAACTTTGAATGCTAACCAACAATCTATTTGGCTTGGAGGGATTATCTTTAGTCTGTTAACCTGATTTTATGGTTTTAATTCAGAGAGTGTCTTTGAAGGAACAGTTATACAATTTTGGAAATAGCTTGGCCTTCTTACTGAGAGTTAGATGAGGGTATCGATAGCATTGTAATGTTTGTTATATTCAGCTACCAACAGCCGCTTAGCTTAGTTTAGCTTTGGGTATGGATGGAAAATGGAGTAGATGAAGAGTGAGTCTGTCTCTGTCTGCAACAAAATCCAACTTCCCGCGCCTCTAAAGTTCACTAAAACACCTATTATGTCTCGCTCATTTATTACGGACAAAGAATGTAGTGTAAAAGTGACACGTTGTGCCTTTTACAGTGCTTTATGTGCCTGAGTTCTTCTTTACCGGCAGCAATAACACAATTTGAGGAAGTTATTGCTCTTGTCAGAGAAATAATTCCGGAGCATTAACCCCCTTAAAAGTTGACATTCTCACTTGGTTTTGTGGGGTTTAAACAAACTAAATAGAAGTCGTTCATTAGGGAACTTTAGAGGGTCTTGTCTGCAGATTTTTAGCTTCAGACAGAGCCAGGCTGTTTTTTTTAGTTTAATTAAGTGAACCAGCTACTGGCTTTAGATACACAATCCCGAAATGTTAAACTGCAACATTAATTATATAGTATAACTCTTTTCTCCGTCATGTTGTCTGAACACCAATGTTCCTATGCTGTTAAAAATGTAGGATGTGTCATTTGTTGCACATCCATGTGTCTCACATTTCTTCAAAAAAGTATTGAAAATGAGCCTCCAGGCTGCAGCACTTTTCACTCAGTGCCCTCTATAGATGTCTCCCCGAGGGGTCTTTCGAAGAACACGTGTTTTTAATAAGGGTCTTTTCGTCTGGCCTTGCATAAATGTTTAGCAGCGTTCCTTCGGGGAACTGGGGCCTGTCTTTACAGAGGAGGCTAATCAGCTGTAAATTCTGTTTTAAAAAGGAAAAGGAAGGCATGGAAGGAGTTAATCTCCAAGGCCCATTGAACCTCCTGTCTCACCCTTTATTCACTCTCTCTCCATCTCTCTCCGATGCACACATGTACATACAGCGCATGCACTCCCCCCTTCCAGAGAGGGAAAGGAGGAGCAAAACTAGGAGATGAAAACAAAAAGGAGAGAGAGAGAGAGAGAA